CAAGGTATGAGCCCCCGCAGGGCTTCCTTGGCAGGAGGAGTGGCTGCTACAGGTCCAAACGTCAGGTTCGTTCTTCCACCGAGCTGAAACGACCTTCAGTAGGGTGACCCACACAACCCTTGCCTAAGTGCTAAGGGCCACGGCACCAGTGACGCTATCCGGCTGCCCCAGCTCAGCCCAGAGCAGCCTGGCAAAGTCACTCGGTACCTGTGCAGGTGAGTCGCGAGGGCTCCTTTGCTTAGTGTGTAATTAATTTTGTCTGCTCCCCATGCAATCCGTCTGCTCCAGCAGGCCCAGGACAGGGTACCAAGACACAGGAGTGTCTGCCGCCATTTAACTGGTCAGCCACTCACTTTTGCTTGCCACCTAAGGCTCTCCCAGCAGGTCAAAGCTGATGGCTGCAGCTTCACAGGAGCCATGGATCTTCTCCCTGAAGGGGAGGAGGACAGCTGTCTGTAGGATGACCTGTCCGCTCCAAGGGGCCCTCCCAGCAGCTCTGCAAGGAGATACAGATGCAGGGTATTCCTCTAAGTTTAGTATTAACTTTTTATCTGGAATGTCAAGGCCCAGAGGCACAGAGCTGCTGGTTACTCTGCCTTTGAGAAAGGCGCAGGATTAAGAGCAAGGTGCAGAAGGGCAGTTTGGGTGAAAGCCCACGTATGGCTGTGCACAGCCACGGTCAGCAGGCAGGGCTCGGGCAGATGCCTCACGCTTCAGCCCTGACCTGTCCCCACTCAGACTTACTGGTTAGAGAGAGCAAAAATCTCTCCTCGCTTGTCTTCTGCTAGGAGTACTCACAAGTCATGCCTTGGCTTTTGTTCAGAGTGTGGAGGACGACCTGGGTTCTCTAAACCCAGCAAGATCGTGGGAGGAACAGATGCTTCCGGAGGAGAGATCCCCTGGCAAGTCAGCCTGCGAGAAGACTCCAGGCATTTCTGTGGAGCCACCATAATCGGGGACCGCTGGCTGCTGTCAGCAGCTCACTGCTTCAACGAGTAAGAGCCCAACCCCGTCCTTTTTTTCACCCGCGGCACTGCAGCCACTGGGGAAGGCCAAGAACACACACTGGGCGTTAATTTTTGTTATAGCTAGAGATGCCCAGGAAAAGGGGGTTCGTGGGGAGGCTGGGATGAAGCAGGGGAAGGTTAAAGTAGCCTAGGCAGGGAGCAAGGACAACACATCCACCAGGGGTGGAAAAGGACAGGCGCCACAAGAGAGTTTCTTCAAGAAGTTTAATCTTGAAAATTGGCTGTAACATAGGAAATAGAGACACGTGGTCAGCTAAGAACCTGCACAGTTCTGTTAAACAGCAAGAGCCAACGCCCAGATTTATAAATAACCGAGATAAAGAAATGAGTAGCAAGAGGATAAAGTTTGTCAAGAATGAAAATTCCTGAAGGCAGACAAGGGGACTAACTATGCAGAGTTCCATTCACGCGTTAAATAGCTGGGCCATAAAGCAGCAAGTGAAATGCAAGGTAGGCAAACGTGAAGTGAGGCACAGAGAAAAGAAAGCAGCGCTGTCTGTCTGTCCGTCTGCGGATGATGGTGGCTCTCCACCAGCTTTCACCAGTCAGAAAAAGAGGTCCGATACACCGTGGGCATTGCCCGGAGAACAGCGGTTCTGTGGACAGTGGCAATCAGAGAGCAAGTGAAAGCTGGTAATTATTAGAAAAACCACTGAGGCATTACCTGTGTGTTGCCGGTAATCCACAGCACACGAGCTTCTCAACCAGTGCCCCTTGTGAAAAGGCTGACGCGAGGCACAGCGATGAGCTGGGTGCGGGACAGCATCTGCAGCAAGCAGGAGAAAACGGCAGCCTGGAGGTGGGAAGGGAGTGTGCGACAGGGACTACACAATCACAAAGGGTACAAAGTGTTCAGGGAATGCCTTCTTACTGTTTTTCTAAGACAGCAAATAATGAAGAGCAGGTGGAAAACAATCAAAAGGAAGCAGTTCTTCGTAAGTGTCATTAAAGTGAATGTTTAAAATTCACACGGGTTTGAAAAAAAATGAATAAAACACAACCCTAGAAAAATCCAAACAAAACCCCCCAATTCCTCAAGACCTACCGAATACAGAGACGCCATCTGCATGCCAGAACACTCCTGCAGTCGGAGATTTCGGGAGGCGAGGAGGGGGTCACTGCACGTTTACCTGCTCTCCAGGACACCCAACGTGAGCCGCTGCTGGAAGCCGCTCTTTGGGCCTGGCTTCGCAGCGCTGCTCTGCCGCGTGCTGGGCTCTGCCTTGGTAAAGGAGGGTGTCAAACAGCGATCACTTCGAGCTGCCCGCACTTTAAATGCCTGAATACATGCTAGACACGTGTGTGAGCACGCATGTTGAGGATTATGTATTTGCAGGACAGATCCAGAGGAGATCGAAGCCTACGTGGGAACAACATCACTCAATGGAACAGACGGGAATGCAGTGAAAGTCAACGTCACAAGAGTGATCCCGCATCCCCTCTTCAACCCTGTTATGCTGGACTTTGACGTGGCTGTACTAGAGCTGGCAAGCCCTCTTGTCTTCAACAAATACATCCAGCCCGTCTGCCTCCCGCTCGCTGCGCAGAAGTTTCCTGTTGGCAAGAAATGCGTCATTTCTGGCTGGGGGGACCTCGAAGAAGGGAACGGTAAGCAGCGCTGCGGCACCGGTCGGTTTGCTCTGGAGCAGCGGCAGCCCGTGCCACTCGACCCAGACAGCCCTGGGAGCATACAGGGACAGGGACAGTCAAGAACTGACAGAAACACGAGAATAAGGGAGAGTAAGGGCACACAGAGCACCACCTTAAACTGCAGCTATTTAGGAGCCACGAGCGAACAAGAAAATAGAGAGAGCAGCTTGTCAGGAACCAGGAGGGACCTTCTGGGCTCCCCTCAGCAGCTCTCCCACGTTCAGCAAGAGCGGGGCACTGCCTCAGTGGCCTGCCGTAGCACTGTCAGGAGAGCCTGCCAGCCTCAGCCACCACGCTCAGTCACAAAGATGTTCCAAGCAATTAGAAAAAGCAAAGATCCCGCTGTGTGGAGAACCTGAGGGTGGCACCTGTGCTACCAGAGAAGCCCTACGGTCCCTCTGACAGCTGGCCAGGAGCCCACGAGCTGTCACGACAGCAGAAACTTGCTGCCTGCGGGCAGCGTCCTTCGCCCAGCTACGAAGCTGCACCCTGGGGTGAGCCAGGAGCTTCAGGGCTGCTGAGAGGTGAGCTCACACCAGACCCGACTCCGGTGTGGGATTAGAGCCTGTTTTCCTGAAGCACGTGTTGGGTCAGTCTAAGCGCCCTTAGTTCCCACTTCCCTCTGCCGCACTCACTAATCCCGTGGTTTTCCTGCAGTCACCAAGCCTGAGGTCCTGCAGAAAGCCTCCGTGGGCATCATAGACCAGGAGACCTGCAACTTCCTCTACAACTTCTCCCTCACGGACCGAATGATCTGCGCTGGCTTCCTGGAGGGGAAGATAGACTCATGCCAGGTATTTCTCTGCTCCTCTGTGGATTGTTCCAGAAAGCTGGGCTAACTCACAGCCTCGGCACATCCTTGGCAGATATTTACTGAGCTGCTGTACCTCAGCTCAAAAAATCCACCCCGCTGCCTTGGAGCTTTAGAAAAGTAAACAAAGTTCCATCAAGTTTGGCATGACTTTAACCAACATCCCACTGCTCTGCCTGGTCAGACTGGAGCTGTGGGTGAAGCAGGTCTCCTCCTGTGGCAGCAGGACAGTGGTAGGTGGTGGTGGCTGTCCTTCACTTGCAGCCTCTGCACCCTCATGTCTTGCACACACACTGCATGGCAGCAGACAGCCCCAGGGGGCTGGAGAAAGAAGAGTTCGGGGCTAGCTAAGCCCTCCCAGCGTGGCTGAGGGGCAGCTCCACGGAGACTTGTCTTGGGGAGATTGGGCTGAGCAGCCATTGCCTTGCTTCTTCCTCAGGGAGACTCGGGTGGACCCTTGGCCTGTGAGGTGACCCCAGGAGTGTTCTATCTGGCTGGCATTGTGAGCTGGGGCATCGGTTGTGCCCAGGCTATGAAACCTGGTGTGTACTCCAGAATTACCAAACTCAAAGACTGGATCCTGGACACCATCTCACAGTGGCCCAGTCCCGGCACAGGCACCCCTTCCAGTTCAGCCATCACTAGAACTCCTGCTGCAGCCATCCTCACCCACCAGCCCAGCTCAACAGCAGCAAGTCCAATCAACAGAACCACCCTGGGGATGAAGATGACCACAATCGTGGAAGAAACCTCTACAGGTCTGAAAACCACTGAGCCTGCCAAGCCTACCCAGACCCCAGGTAAAACTGACAACAGATTTATTGATACGTTGGTAAGAGGCCTCCAGCCCCAGCAGAAGTACTGAGCAGACGGTACTGAGCACAGGGTACCCTCAGAGGGTGCTGAGCAGGCCATGGGTTCTTGCCTTCCAGTGGTGCCTTGTACCAGCCTCACCTTCAAGTGTTCCAGCAACGTCTGTATTGGAAAAGAAAATCCTGAATGCGATGGCGTTGTTGACTGCAGCAACGGCGTTGACGAGCGCAACTGCGGTGAGTGCTGCTTTGCAGCTTGCGGCTGCTGCCCAGCCTTACTCTGCGTCCCCCAGACCCCCCAGCGCAACCCACCAGCTCCACGGGGGCTGTCTTGGGACCCACGTTGTACGCTGGGGGCCTGGGCCAGCCCCTGGTGCTCCAGGTCCTACTTGGTCTGCTAGAGCCTGTAATGAGATCAGGCTGGATGAGCAGGGTCCAAACTGTCTGCCAGGGAACGAGGCCTTTTCTCCCATGCTGTGAACATCAGAGCCCCTTTCCCAGCACCCGGACCTTCCGGCCAGTCAGTCAGCCAGCTGGAAAGACAGCTCTGCTCAACATGGCAGCCCAGGAGGTGTCTTGCCATCCCCGGGACTGCTCCTTGGCCTGCACATTCCTCGCTGCGAGACAGCTCAGCCAGTCCATCCAAACGTCCCCTCCGGACACAGCACATCCCTGGAAGGTGTGATCTGTGACACCAAGCAAAAGTTCCCAAGCCATACCAGGTCTGCAGAGCCTTGCCTCACAGTCCCAGCATGGCAGGGGTTGGCAGGGCCCTCTGTGGACCCCCCTCCCCACGCAGGGTCACCCAGAGCAGCTGCACAGCAGCTGCACAGGCGGGGCTGGAATATCTCCAGAGAAGGAGACTCCACAGCCTCCCTGGGCAGCCTGGGCCAGGGCTCCATCACCCTCGTGTTCAGATGGAACTTCTTGTGCTTCAGTTTGTGCCCGTTGCCCCTTGTCCTCAGCATCAGATGGGTGAATGAAATTCTTCACATCCTACTGCCCTATGTTCCCTGTCCATGGCACGGGGTTGGAACGAGATGATCTCTAAGATGATCCTGGGGTTCCCACCCAAACCATTGTAGGATTCTATGACTCTCTGTCTCCCCAGAAGGCCACCCCATGGCACAGGTTATGGAAGGAGGGCAGATATCCCTTTCACTTAACGGTTACTTAAACCCACGGTGCCTCTTCTGTCCCAGACTGTGGCTTAACAACTGCTCTGGCCTTCAGCAAAATCGTGGGTGGCAGCACTGCGGCTCGAGGAGAGTGGCCCTGGCAAGTCAGTCTCTGGCTTCGGCGGAAGGAGCACAAGTGCGGGGCTGTCCTCATTGCCGACCGGTGGCTGCTCTCCGCAGCTCACTGCTTTGACATGTAAGTCTGAGATGGGCTGGTGAAGCCAGCTGGCTCTTGCCCTTGCTCCCGTCAGACCACCTACCCTTCCCCTTCCCACGGCTGGCACGCTGTGTCCCACTGGGAACACACGCTCCCTGGTACCGATGTGCCCTGCAGGTAAGCGTGACGAGGAATGAGTGGAGCAAAGCCTGGGTATGTCCACAGAGCGATGGAGACAGGGCTGCTGGCCTCACAAGGTGTGGCCATGGTGCATCCCAGCCCCACAAGCCGAGGAACAGCCCTCCTTGTGAGGCCATGCTCCTAACGGCCAGGTTTGCTGTCTTTCTGCAGTTACAGCGACCCCAAAATGTGGGTGGCCTTTCTAGGATCCCCCTTCCTGAACGGCATCGATGGCAAAACGGAGAAAATATTCCGTATCTACAAGCACCCTTTCTACAACGTCTACAGCCTGGACTACGACGTGGCACTGCTAGAGCTGAACACGCCCGTCAAGTTCAGCAACACCATCAGACCTATATGTCTGCCAGACAACTCGCACATCTTCCATGAAGGAGCCAGATGCTTCATCACAGGCTGGGGCTCCACGAAGGAAGGAGGTACGGGTTGGGAGGGCTCCCTCACATCCATGATGGCCGAGCTAAGTGCCATCTACCCTGTGAGCCCAAACATCTGCGACTCCCGCTCCACTGCCCCAAGATAATACCCTGCAGGGCTGGGGATCCCAACCTTGGGATCCCAACCTGGGCAAGGCCTGGTGTCACCATGATCTCCTCCCCAGCTGCCAGGCGCTGGGCTCCTCCGTTTGATTACCCCTCTGCACCCCTGCAGAAGGTATTTTACACCCAATGCTAACTGATGGCATAGAATCGTTAAGGTTGGAAAAGACCTCTAAGATCATCAAGTCCAACTGTCACCCCAACACCCCCATGCCTGCTAAACCGTGTCCCCAGGTGCCACATCTACACGGTTTTGAACCCCTCCAGGGATGGGGACTCCCCCACTGCCCTGGGCAGCCTGGGCCAACGCCTGACCACTCTTTCAGGAAACAAATTTTTCCTGATATCCCATCTAAACCTCCCCTGACAACTTGCGGCCATCCCCGCAGCAGCTGCTCCAGCTGTGCTCCTGCAGTAGAAGGACCGCGCTGACAGCACATCTGTCTGTCAGCCGAGGTGCCCGACAAACCACGCACCAAAGGGACCTTCCTGGGCTTGCTCTGCTGGGGAGGAACCAGCCCTGATTCGCTTCCCCAGTGCAGATCTCTCCTTCGGCTCCACGCTCCTCCACACGCGGCTGCTTCTCAGGTGCTCTGCACCCAGCTGACAGCAGCACTTGTCTCCTCAGGTCTCATGTCAAAGCACCTCCAAAAAGCAGCAGTGAACATCATTGGAGACCAGGCCTGCAAAAAATTCTACCCGGTACAGATCAGCAGCAGGATGGTGTGTGCCGGCTTCCCGCAAGGCGCCGTCGACAGCTGCTCGGGGAGTGCGAGGGCA